AAGCAAGCAAGCAAACAAACAACCAAACAACCAAACGAACATACAAACAACCAAACAACCAAACAACCAAACAAACAAACAAACAAACAAACAACCGAACAACTAAACAAACAAACAAACACACAAACAACCAAACAAACAAACAAACAAACAAACAAACAACCAAACAAACAAACAAACAACCAAACAACCAAACAAGCAAGCAAGCAAACAAAGAAACAAACAAACAACCAAACAACCAAACAAACAAGCAAGCAAGCAAGCAAACAAACAAACAACCAAACAACCAAACAAGCAAGCAAGCAAACAAACAACCAAACAAACAACCAAACAAACAAACAACGAAACAACCAAACAATCAAGCAAGCAAACAACCAACCAAACAAAGAAACAAACAAACAACCAAACAACCAAACAAGCAAGCAAACAAGCAAACAACCAAACAAAGAAACAAACAAACAACCAAACAAGCAAGCAAGCAAGCAAACAAGCAAGCAAGCAAACAAGCAAACAACCAACCAAACAAACAACCAAACAGACAACCAAACAACCAAACAAGCAAGCAAGCAAACAAACAAACAAACAACCAAACAACCAAACAAACAAGCAAGCAAGCAAGCAAACAAACAAACAACCAAACAAGCAAGCAAGCAAACAAACAAACAAACAACCAGACAAGCAAGCAAGCAAGCAAGCAAGCAAGCAAGCAAACAAGCAAGCAGGCAAACAACCAACCAAACAAACAACCAAAACAAACAACCAACCATCCAAACAAGCAAGCAAGCAAACAAGCAAGCAAGCAAACAAACAAACAACCAAACAACCAAACAACTAAACAAACAAACAAACAACCAACCAAACAAACAAACAAACAAACAAACAGGCAAGCAAGCAAGCAAACAACCAAACCACCAAACAACCAAACAACCAAACAAACAACCAAACAAACAAGGAAACAACCAAACAAACAGACAACCAAACAACCAAACAAACAAACAAGCAAGCAAGCGAACAAACTCCACAGCCCAGAAGATCCAGCTTCAAAGGCGCTGCAGGGATCGACCGAGACCCGCCGTCCTCGGTCCACGCGACCGCTCCAGCCACAGAAGGTGCTGGCGGGAAAGTTCGAGGCGACCAGGTTCAAACATCGCCTTTTGATGTCTACAGGGAGTATTTTGTGCATGGACGAAATCCAATTCGCACCCAAGAAACCCAATGATGATTTCCCTATAAATACCATCGAACAATGATGTGCCATGGTTTCAATGTGGTGCGAATTGGATTTCTTCATGGGGTGATATATTACCCAGTCAGGTCCACTACTTGGGTAATATGTAGGATACATCCCACAGGTTCTAGGGCAGCGCTCTCAGAGGCTTAGATTGGTCAATTTGGAGGTGTTCCGGGGTTGGCTTCCCGCTGATCATCTGTAAGAAGCAGCTTATCCTTCATTGGTTGTTTAGCTTGGTTTGGAAGCTAGGGGGTGACCCCCAATTGACTCTAAGCAACCAAGGGTTCGTTCAAATTTTCGACTCGCAAAGCCAAATCAGCAACTCATGATTGCCTGACTAAACCAGAGGTCGACATTACTGTGGATGCGGGTGGAATGTACTGTTGGTTGCTCCAAGCCTTTGCTTCAAAAAGGCAGCAGTGAAGGAGTTTGGTGAATTTGGAATTGACTTAGGTATTTGTTCAAAACCCCAGGGGGCCATACTGTGGATGGACGAAATCCGCTTGCACCACTTTAAAACCATGGTTGAAACCATTGTTTCGTTGGTATTATATACAGGGGAATCGAATCATTCTAGGGTTTCTTGGGTGGTACGAATTGGATTTCGCAGCCATCCACAGTACCAAGCCCCAGCACCCTTAAACTTCCATTTGCTTAAGCCAACTGGACAAAAATAGAAAACATATTTCCAGTAGTTCCTTTTAAAACCAACAGGGGATTGTAAAAACAAAATGGAAGTAAAGCTGTTCCATCCGAGGTCAAAAAGAAACCTGAGACCCTGCCTGCCAAGGCAAGCGCCCAGCGCAACCGCCCGCAGCAGAGTCCAACGCCGTGTCCCCTGGCGTGGCACGCGGTCGCCAAAGAGATGTCGCAGCTCATCGTTTGCGATCAGTTCCGATGTCACGCATGGAAGGCTAACCTAGAACAGGACCGCCGTCTGGCTGATTGAATCCGCCTTCTGGGGGTCTTGGAAAAGATCAGGATCTTTGAGCACAGAATGGAACAGGAAGATCAACTCCAGAGTTTCAAGAAAACGAGATAGCCAAGGTGCGATTGCTTTTTTTCAGTCACTGCTGGTTCTTCGGGTAAAGTGGATAATAATAATAATAATAAAAAAGCGATCGCAACTGGCGATCCAGGAAGCCAAATTTCGACCTTTGGGGGGCTCATCCTGCACAAGGACCTAGTCAATAAGCCTGATCGAGGCTGAGCACAGCAGGGGCCAAAACCCATCAACAATCGACTGTTGGTTCTACCAACATGCTCATAAAGGTTTCTGCAGTCCTTACTGTAGCCCTTGTTCAAAGTCTACAGCTCTGCTGTACCTAAATTCCAGAGTCGATTTGGGTATGGCTCAAAATTAAACAGGAGGGGCAAACCGCAGGTTTTGCTCCATGTTTCCACTTACCAGGGCAACCCATTTTGGAATTCCGGACTTTTTAAGCCATAGCCATATAGAACCGCCCTAAAGCAGCGTCTCTTCTCCTCGCCTTAGCCATGGGAGCCATGGCGAGCACGCTCGTCGCTTTTGCGCGCTCCGAATCGCGACCCTTTGGCACCGAATCGGAGCTGAGAGTCGGTGCTCCGATCCAAAATTGCGGCGAGGAACTCCTGACTCGGCGTCTTGGTTGCTGTTGACCCCCCTGCATGTTTTTTTTTTACTTTTTGGGGGGTTAGCAGAAAACCCCTTGCTTTCCCAAAAAGTTAAAGTCTACTGATCCAACCCAATAGCAGTCAAGGCGTAGAGGATCCGAGTTGAGCAAGTCCCTTGTTCCATTTTTGCGCGAAATCCACTTCGCGAAATCCACCGAACCCCGGAAGGATTCGATGGTTCGACGTAAAGACCAACAAACCTTATGGTTTCAGCCGTGGCTTCATTTCATGGTGGCGATTTCAGGATTTCGATTTCAACCATCCACAAGGAAGCAACCGAAGGCCCCCGGCCCGGAAAAATGAAACCGTCCTAGGGGTGTGGTGGGCAGCGCCCGAATCCCAAGGTTCCGGATACCATCCTGAAGCCAAAGCCCAGAAAAGCCCGGCATGCCCAAGGCAACGGATGCTTCAAGCGGGGCGGTGCTCTTGCCACTTTTTGCGTAGACATCATTTAGGTGGGGATGTATGTCCGACTCTTCAAATCCATCGCCACTTGTTTCGGCCAAGGGAGGAAAAGGCCCAAGGCGCATGGCAAAACGAAAAGAGGCAGCCAACGATGGAAGGTTTCTTTGAGAAGACAGCCAACTATAGGTCTTTAGGTAAAAGACGCAAATCCAAAAACAAAGCGGGATTTTCAGAAAACTGCAAGGAATTCTTCCATGCGTTTTAGCCCCCTGGAAAAAATAAACATATGTCCAGTAGTGATCGATTCCGTGTAAAACGAACAGGGGGAAACAATCTTAAACAAATGGAAGAAAAATAAAGAGGGATTTTCAGAAAACTGCAAGCTTCTGATTTCCTGTGGACCTCCCACGACTCGACGTCCACTGGCTGCGGCGCTTTCAACGTTTAGATCTCGCGGTTGGTGAGACGGACAAACAAGTCCAGAGTCCAGGGCATTGGGGCACCACGCAAATCCATTCAAGCAGACTCAGTCACAGGATACACTGGTCTCATGACTCAGAATCTCATCACCTGGTAGAGTGGGCAATCCCCTGAGTCAGGAAAAAATCAAAAGATCGGCACCTGCTTCTGATTGGGGCTCTCCCTTTCTAACCTCACTTTACCTGACCTCTACTTACCTGGACGTTGCTTGTGGCTCACATTTCTCAAAGAGATTCGCAAACGTCCAACACTGGATTGCACGGCGCCAAGGATGCTGTACGTGTCAAAATAGGGATACCCTGAACACCGGTGATGCTCTTTGAGGTGTCCCCTTAAACCAATCTCAAACCTCAACAAACACGCACCCAAGTAATGTTGACTTCGGATGAGCCCGAGGATCATACTAATCAGGCTCGCTCCTCCTTTCAGTGGGGAATGTAATCTCATTTGAGGGCCACGGCCCTCAAGGTTAATCCGAAGACGTGAGAAGCTGCCGAAAGGTTCGCAAAGGCGAAACGAAGAACACGGAACGGGCGCCGAAGGCTACACAGAGGTCCACTACTTTTGGCAATCCAGACGAGCGCTTCGCTTGGCCAACTGCTGTTGTTTCAACGAGTTTGTCATGCTCGGTACCCTTTTCAGGCTTAGGAAGCCAAAAGGAAACACAGAACATTATCTTAAGGGCTCCCCTTTGACATGCTGCTTATGGCCCACACCAGCTTAGTTGTTGGTTTGCTTTGAAGAGGTTTCGAATTCAAACCCACTCCAACTCAAAGTTGGAAGCAGCGCACCCTTGTTTGCGGGTTGCTTTTGAAGGGGCTTCCCGCCCCAAAAGAAAGCTGGAAAGGGAAAAGCTCGAAAGGCAACAAGTTGGCTACTACAGTAAGTGGGGGCAGTGACTACGCGAAACACATTGGGGCGTCTGATGATGGGTGATCCTCTGGAAAAACAGATGGGCTTCCCTGGTAAATGGATGGCATAACACCCATCTAAACCCGCGGCTTGCCCATCAATCTCTAATCAAGCTAGCTACGCGAACGGCGATTGTGGATTGGGGGGGTAAAATGTTGTGGATTGCGAGAAAGACGTTGTAAATGATAAAGGATTTCGATGTAACATAAACGAGGAATGACGCCACTGGCAAGAATTGAAAAAACAATGTGGATTGGACACCTATGCTTCTACGGATGGCACTCCATCATTTTATCCATATAAGCCAGTGGCAAGCCACCACTCACCAAACTCGCTCTGCTTTTCTGATTGTGAGAAAGTGCCCCTGGTGCCGCCGCTGCCACTCCCGCGCCAGTCTGATGGGCGAGTGCCCGCTGGCTGGGAGCCGTGAGCCGTGAGAGGTGTTTCGGGCCGCCTGGCGCACGTAGGCCGCACTCGGGAAAATCGGAACACCTGGCCCCGTAGAAACCTGGGATTGGGGGGGAGGGGGGGAGGTGGGGGAGAGGGGGGGAGGTGGGGGGAGGGGGGGAGGTGGGGGAGAGGCCCCCACCTCCAGCCCAGCAAGCTCCCTTTGTGGCAGGTCCAAGGGTCCACTTCTATTGGAAGAAGGGCCAACTTGAAGCTCCAAACTGCCAATCCACGCATTAAGGCTCACCTGACTTTATTCCATAACCTTGGCCCACACAAAAGGGAGTACCCAGAAATGACACTGTCGGATTCGTGTCATACGTCTAGGCAAATGGTTATCATTCCCCAACCGACAATATGGGACTGTGACAGAAACATTCATCATGGGCCCAAACATGAGGTCATTGCCCAGATTCGTTGTCCACGAGACAGTTTTTCATGAGCCAGAAGGTCGAGGCGACCTATTCAACATGGAAGTGGGCATCGCAGTTCCCAAGCAGTTCGGTGTTCCGGTTTCCCGGAAGTGTCCTAGGTGGTGTTACGGTGGTCAGGGTTCAAAGGGAAACAAACTCACTTCCTGACTAGGTTGGGCCCCAAAAAACCTGTCTATGTATCACTAAAATGGTCCAACCCCAACAAGCTTCAACTCAGGAAGTGAGCAAAAGAACACCGACCACTTCTGGGCTGCTTTTTCAGATCCATGGAAACAGATCCGCCAAAAGTTGGTACCTTTTTTTTCCCGTGAGTCAAGTTCGGAGACCCAACCACCAAACCAACCTTTAAAACAATATTTATTTTATTTTTTTAAAAAGGAACGACGGCACCACCAGACTCGAAAAATATCCGTTCCCCGAGTTCGATACGTCAGGCAGCCGGCCGTGCCTCAGGCGCCCTTCCTGCCCTAGCAGACGACGTCTTCCCAGTTTTGGGCTTCCCAAGCCCCAAGGGAACCCCCAAAACGGTGGCCTAATACTCTGGATGGTTGAAATCGAAATCCCAGACCGCACCACGAACTGAAACCATGGTTAAAGCCATGGTTGGTTGGTATTTGCAGGAGAATCGAATCATTCCAGAATTTGTTAGGTGGTGCAGGAGTTTGTCCATCCACAGTATGACTCCTCCCATGACCAACTTTTTGGTGTTAAAGACCCCCCTCATTCAAATTATGGCTTTTATATTCGTCTAGGGGGCGAAAGACTTTCCGTAGCTGCCATTGTATGAGTTTCAACTTGGAAAGGACGCCATGATGGAATTTGAGACTCGCTTGCTCAATACATGATGTTACAGTACACTGAGCCTACAGGGGCCAACCAACCTTCTACCCCTGAAGTAGCGAAGGGGATAGCAACAAAGGCATCCGCTGCAGGTTACATGCGAATTTCTTGCTGCATGAGGGATTATCATGGTGTACAAGGATGAATCTCTATAGTCTACCCTAAAATCTCAAATAGTTTTGGAGGGCCTCCCCGGGTTTTACTGGTTTCGCCGGTGTCGCCTCCCTCCTTGTTGGCCGAAAAGTGTTCTCTCTCCAAGCGGATGGTCCAGATTCTGTTTCATATTCAGTCAACCAACAGATGGGTGTGTCTTTATGGGGGACCCCAAAACAGTGTTGATTCTTTTGGTTCCCCTTTCAAATGTTCAAACCGCAAAAACAAAGGGGACCTTCACACCAAAACCTTGAGGTACACAGCAAAACATATGTTCCAACTGTGTGCTATATATTGTGTCTACCCTAGTCAAATATTCACACAAAACAAAGTTTGGAGGAGACCCCAAACCAAAAACTGCGCCTTCGCCTTCTTCTTGGGCGCCTTTGCCTTTTCCTCCAGCGCCTGGAACAGCCGAACCGCCGATTCCATCGCGAAGGAAGGTCGCACCATTTTTGACGCTCGATACTTTGGGAAGAAACCCCAGATTCTAGTGCTACCTTCCAACCATTTCCAGGGATCCTTCTTTCTAGAAAACCTCCGGAAACCGAGGGAAACTGCCATTTTTTTTGAAAAGAACGATGGTTGAAAAGAGGGGAATAAACCCTTAGAAAGATGTTCCCTTTCACATCACCCCACGGATCTCACTTTCTTCTGGCCCAAAAGGCGATGATTCAAAAAACACACAACAACAAAAAAAAAACAAGGGATACAACTCGGGAACCCCGTGCTGAAGCGACCCAGCAGTTTTTCTGGACCTCAAAAAATCCCATTGGGATCTCCGCCAACTGCCTCCGCCTGGACAGGCACGCCTTCTCGCCTCCTGGCAGCACAAAACAGGAAAAGAATGCCCGGAGATCTATGGGTCTGGGAAAAACAACAAAACAAACCCGTACTGTGGGTGGACGAACTCCTGCACCAAGCCTGGAATGATGTTTGTTCTGGACATACCAACCAACAACGGTTGCCCATGGTTTCAAAGTGGTAGTCTCGTCCATCCACAGTAGGAAAACCAAAAGGGCTTAGGGTGCGTAGGTAGAAACAATACGCGCCCACCTTCAGTTTCAACCACACTGACACCCAATTGGTCCCGAGAAAGAAAAACCACGGTTGAACCGGCCACGCCCTTCTTCGGCACGCGGCAAACGAAGAAGCCAAACAAGGCGTCCCGCTTTAACCGCAGGCTTTGGAGGGTCCGAAGGGGAGAGCAACGAAGCGTATCTCAGCTCTCTCTTGGTTGGAACCCGGTGGTTTTGGTGGAGGGTGATGTACTTACCCCTTAAAACTCCAAGCAACCTGGGGAAGTTAATCTTTTACAGACATATAGCCCATGTTACCCAAAAAGTTGAAAAGTTGTGTTTTTAAGAGGTAAGTGTAGAATACCACCCTTTCAAGGGGAAGTATACGGAACCCTGGAGACCGCCAAGGTATGATCTTTCTTTGCGGAAACTTTGTTGGCAAACATCATGTGGGATTTCTGCTCGCCTATGAGTTGTGCCTCGGAGCAACCCTGTCCGACGTCCAAGACCCCCGGTTTGCGCCCGCTGCTCTGAAAGGGGGAGGCCACCCGCCCCCTGGCGGTCCAGGAAGCGGTCCCCTTGTTGCCAGGCCCTCCAGTAGAGAGCTTAGAATGAGGGTACCCTTTTTTTCTGTAGTCTACTTTAGTAGGGGCACCCTACACAAAAAAAGGGGGTAAAAGGGCACTTCTGGGGGACCTAGGTTGCATCCGCCGGATGCGGCCGAAGCCCGCGTCCTCTTCTTCTTCTTCAGGCCCTGCACCAGAGGAAGATCCTGCTGACAATTTTCAGGGCCCCCCCCCCCCCCCCCCGGCTTCCCGCGGATGGCTCACGGAGCCAATTATGGGTCGTGCAAGGGTTCTGTTTGAACTTCCATCCCATCGCCCATGGCGAAGAACTGTTCGGAGCATGTTACTTCTTTGAGGAAACCTGGGTCACTTCTGGGGGGAACCAGACATCGTCCGAAAATTGGATTGCCCTGGTCCTAAGGACACATTGCTTCAACGAAGGTATGGCGAAAGCGCCAAGTGGGCGAACACGTGGACCGATGCGGTTGCCACAAAAAAACATGATCCACACCAAAAAAAGGTGGCTCCAAGGCATGAATGAACCCCCTAGACTTAGCCTGACCCCTTTTTCTTGTTTGCTTAGTTGATATCAACGTGATACTCAACCAAAGGAATAAGCAGGGTAGTTCAAAATGCGAAATCCCTAATCCGTAATCCCTGGTGGGACATCAGCGACCACAAGAGAAAGCACTACGCTCCTATCAGAAGGAGCTTTCGGATTGATTTGGAACAAACCCAAATGGGTTTGTGTCAAAATAGATGTAAGCCTTTGGCCAAACAGAACTACGTCTGTTTCTTGGTTGACGTTGGAAGGGGAGCAAAATTTCAAATGTTAGCAGTTCAGTGGGGAGTTCAACCACTAAACCACAAGCAAAAATGTAAAAAATGTGTCCCAACAACAATGGCTTGGTTGCCACGTCTTGCCAAAAAGTCGCAAGTTCAGGAACTCAGGGAGTGAGGAACCCAAAAAGTGTTGCCCCTGGACCGGGGGCAAACGTCACAACTTGTGAAGGGATTTTCGGCGTGGCTCGCGGCCGAAAGTATTTTTTTCGGGCTGTGTTTCAAAGGGAAACCGAAGAGAAACCAATCTGTGGACCTATTTTGAGAATCCATCTCAAAATGGCTGGCCCTTTTTGCGCGAAATCAAAAGAAAAACGACCCTTGGCTGAGACAATCCCTCATGTTTCTCTTTTGCCGTTTGAGAATGGGAAAACCAGCAAGCGTCTTTGTTCCAATGTCATCAGGTGCCATGTTGGGGATTCCCATTTTTGAGCCACAGTCATACCCCTCGTGAATGCTGGCGTGTGCTTTTGGAGGGTACCGCAGCGGACCTTTCGCGCGAAAAACCAAATGGTGTGCTCCTCCAATTAGGCTACCGGGAACCCCAAAATGGAAAGTGCTCTCTTTGGGCTTCCCTTTGAAACCACCCAAAAAAAGGGGTCCGAATTCCCATTTTTGAGCGAACCCCTTCTTTCCCAAGTTTGGAGCCTGACCTCCACATCCAGGGGACCTCACTTTTGGAGGTCCAAACCAACGGAAAGTCTGGTTTCTGAGCCCAGGGTAGTTGCATTCAAAGGAGTTGAAGAGTCTTCGAGAGCTGTGAGCAGCGAATGTGGGGTCGTACATCTCCAACAATGGGTGGGATTCTTTGTGAAGCCCTATGAAACTCTGTGACACCCTGTGAAATCCTTACGTGGATGGACGAAATCCTGCATCACTTCAGACACCCTGGAATGAGTCGATTCCCTGGTTTCAGTTCGTGGTGCGAACGGAGACCCCAAAACGGCCTAAAAAAACACGCCCAAGAAAACCGCCTCGTGGGCAATATCGTCGGCCTCGGAGTCCTGCACGCAGCTTTCAGTCCAAAAACTGGTCCCCGGGCTCGGTTCGCTCCAAGCGCCGGGAAAAGACAAGGGGGAAACCAGGGTTCCGCTTTTCCCAGCGGGAAACCCCTGAATGTGAGTCTACCTTGGAATAGTCAAAAAGTGGAACCCTGGGGGAAACGCAGGAGGCAACTCTTTGGGCGGAAGAACGATTTTGAATTCAGCGGAGGATTCTGGATCTCTCGAAGGGTTTGGACCCCCAGAAGGGCCTTTTGAAGGGCCAAAATGCTGCACAGCTGGGCCAGCCGGATGACCTTGGACCCATCAAAAGGTGCTAGTTGAAAGAGGAAATTAAACCAAAAAGGGCAAAAGGTTGGAAAAGGTGGAAAATACATGGACAACCACAGGGAAAAAAACATGTGGACAAAAGTGGAACATCGTGGAAAAAACGATTTGACATATGTGGGAAACAGGGAGAATACAGAAGAAAACCAAGTTAAGCATTGGGAATACAGGGCGTTTGATCAGGCTTCTCCTTTTCTTCAACCTACCAATGCAGGCTCACCTATAGAAACCCCCGAAAAGGAACGGAATCACGGGGGAAATTGGCCGGGAAAAATGACAAATATCCATCCTCGTTGGGGGTGCTTTCAGGAAAGCTATCAATGTTCGCTTGGCACCTTGGTTGAGAAGTTGCCAAGTCGTGTTCGTCCCCTTGAAACAACAAGGGATTTACTTGTGGTTTCCCTGACGCCAATCAACAAGCTAACTCTGCGAAGAAACCACTGCCGCAACTTTGCGCAAACTTCAGCGATAAGGAGGTGCACCAGTCAGGGCGTTCTTCGGGCGGATCTACATCCTTGCAAAGCAGCTGGGTTTTGGATGTACATTGCAAGTTCGGCTTGCCTTCGACTCGACGCGGCCGAGTTTCCTCGAACGTCCCCACAAGCAAACTCAAAAAAAATCGGCCTACAAATGATATGGGTTTGTCTCAAAAAGGTTGAAACCCCAAAATGGGTGGTGTCGTTTTCTTGTGGTGTCCCGACCTTTTAACAACCCAACAATCGGCGCCCTCCAAAAAGCAACGGCTCGCTGTGCAAAATCAAACCGACCTACGGAGACAAGGGCGACCTTCAGACCCGCGAAGCGGCCGAACTCGAAGCGCAGGGTCCGCAGTCTCCATCTCGCTCATCGTCTCGCCCGAGGTGTCCACCTCGCTGATGGAATCCTTGGCCGCTGCTTCGGGCGCAAAGGGCGACAAACTTTCGGGGTCATCAAAACTGATCCCGTAGGTGTGACCAAAACTTGTAGGTGTCCCAAATCCCTCTACACTCTAAAAGGTCTTTTAGAGGGTTCTGGTAGAAGAATACACCCCACAAGTGCGTGGTGTACAAATCCGGCTGTTGGTGATCTGTTAACTGGCGCACATGTGTCGCGTTGGAGGGGTCCCCGATTTGCTCAATGGGGCAAAAAGAAAGGAATACAGCTCAAAAGGGAGCGAATCTGCTGATTGGCATCTGGGAACCCGTCATGGATGACTGGGTTGTTCCAAAACTGAATCTGTGATCCCCCGTAGTGGTTCACTACAAGGGAAACCATTAGCATCTGGCACGAGGGCTCTTCTGCTCACATCAAACCCTTGAAGTCTACCTTGGGGTTGGGTCAAAAAGAGCAAAAAGGATCTGCCTAGAGTCTCCATGACCCGAAACAAGAATGGCTCCATGACCAACCATTATTTTGGGGCAATGACCAACCCTTTTTTATTTCGGGTCAGAAGAAGACTCCAGGACATCAATGGTCGACCTTCCGGAGGCCAGGAAAAGGTCAAAAAGGCGAGATCTTTTGGGGAAGAAAGGCATACCCAAAGCCATCGGCCGTTCTAAAATTCAGACCCTGCAAATGGAACACAGGACCCACAAGACCAATTGGCTACCTGTCTTGCTTGGTCGTTGTGACATTCGGAGCAACTCTGATGGAGTCATTCACATATATAGAGATATACATATGTGAGGTAATGTAATCTAATGAAAAATGTAATGTAATGTAATGTAATGCAATGTAAAGTGTAATAGAATGCAACGAAATGTGTATGTGCGCACGCACGTATGTATCTATGTATGTTGGCCTATACATACTAATATATATATATATATGTACACATTGGCTTTGCAAGAAATAGACGGCGCCGCGGTGCTTTCTGCGCAAGTCATCCAGATCCCCTCTCCAATCAATTGCACCGTCCACGTTGTTGGCCAGCAGACGACAGGAATCCTCTTTAAATGGCTCAACCCACTACCCAAAGGGCTGGTCCTCCCTTCTGATCATCCCAAGTGGCCCTTTGAAGGCTGAACGGGTTGAGACTCGTGGATTCCCAAATGTGGCACGAAGAGACCCCTCTCAGTTTGCTGGAAAGGCTTGCCCGGGCTGCAAGCAACCGTGAACAAAAGGTCGCTAGACCTTTTGTGTGTTTCATGGAAGAGCAAATTTGTTGCCAACAGATCTCTCCAGTGCCTCAAACCTCAACTCGAGGCGTCGAAACGACTCCGAGGTGCCCGGGTACTCAGCGTCTCCCCGGCGTCGGAGATGATCTGCACGGCTATCGGCGATCGGATGGTTGCGGCTTGCGGTTTTGCTCGTCTACGTGGCCATGGGTCAAAAGCCCGTACCCCCTGTGAACATCCCCAATCCCCACTTAACTAGACTAAAATGGGTGGTGTACCTACCCCAAAACGGTACCATTGGTTTTCAGCCACAGCCACATGTGTGCTTGCCGACTGGCTAGCTGGCTGGTCGGCCGGCTGGCTGGCTGGCTTGCTCGCCCGCTCGCTTTCTTGCTTGTGTGCTTGCGTGCTTGCTTGGCTGGCTGGCTGGGTGGTTGGTGGGTTGGTTGATTGCTCGTCTGGTCGTCGGTTCGTCTCTTTGTATCTTTGTATCGTTGTCTCTTTGTCTCTTCGTATCTTCGTTTGTTGATTGGCTCACTGGTTTGTTCGTTCCTTCTTCGTTCCTTCGCGTGCTTGTCGCCTGCAAAACATATGCTCAACAACTCGTTGCTTTTTTCTCTGAGGTGCGTGCCCCACGCAGAAAGATCGCACATACCCACAACATGTAAGAGGCAAACAAACATATGCTCCTTTGATCATGAACATGAGCCCAACAACCTGACTGGAACATCTTTTGCATGCACTCCATGAAGGCGATATTCACAGCTTGAACAGAATATAAGGCAGCCCCGGTTCGAAAGGAATGCTTGGGGAATGCTGCCACTGGCAGCATAATGTCCCGTGCGGGAAGGTGTAAAGGGGTTTACCTCTGCAAAGGCATGGGGTAAAATATTGCCTGTGTTTGGTCAATCTGTGTAAGATGCGCATACATATTTTCAGTGCGCGTGTTTGCTCTTGCAGCATTCAAAAGGAGGAAGCTCATACTGACATGAATGCCAAACAAAAATGAAGTCTGTGTGCATCTGTACATGGGCGTTCACCAAGAAACTGGTAAAGCCTGCGAATGCTTGGATGCTTGTTTGTTCTCTTTGCAGCCAGCCACCCTAGTGGAAGGAAGCACAATCATGTCCATAGGGTGAATTCGAAGCGATTCCTGTGCAAGGAGCCTAAGAGAGAATGAAAGCACCCACTCGACCGCCATTGGTCAAAAGAAAATCGGTGCTGTCTTGTAAATCCTTTATCTCTGGTGCCATTGAGGAATGGAAGTCTTTGACCGGCCCCATTTCGGATCGCATTGAAATGAAAGCCAATACGCAACTAAACAGGGGTGTCGATTCTAAAAAAGGCCTTGACCGCCATCATTTACGTGATTCATGTCCACCAAACACTTAGGTGGTTCCCTATTCAAAACCATAGCCAACAGTTTGAGAGCAGTAAGCGTGAGTCACACTCAAAACCCGGTATTAAAATGGTCTACCCAGAACCATGCAAAGAATTAACAAGGCGGAATTCGGCACCCATTTACGGCCGGAATTGTGCCTCACCACCCATCAATTACCCGGGTTTGGATTGTGACTCACGTCTTAAAGCGCCAATCAGACACTTAGCAAGTGGCTAGTAACCGTGGTCACCAAAGCCATGGTTCGGTGGGTTATTGCGCCATGGTTACTCACCACTTCCCTGGCGTGCCGAATCGAGCGCCCTTTGAGACGTGGGGATCCCAAGGTTGGCCGACCGGAGAACTGGGAACAGCCGTCTCCGGCCTCGCTGCCGGTGATCTCGGAGTCGCTGACGCCACTGGCGCCTCGGGTGAGGCCCTTTCAACTTGGGACCGCGGAGGTCATGGGGATTGATGCCCCATTGGCTCAGCCCAGCCATGGGACCAAAAGTGTTGGCGTCCTTGTTGGACAAAAAGAGCGTCCTTGTTTGGTTGGTTGAGTTTGAAGGGGAACCCTTCCCAAAAAAAAGGAAGAAGGGCGCCACTGGTTGTGAGGGTCACCATTGAAGCTCATAGCCAAAACGTCTTGCACCACATGGTTCTACGTGCGTGTTCGCTTGGCGATTCTTTTCCTGAGACACCCAGGGCTTCATTGAAACACCAAGATAAACATGGGAAATGAGGAGTTGAACTCGGTATCCCAGTTACTAGGTAACCCTTCGACATGTTTCTTTGGGTTGAAAGTGGGGAGTTCTTTGGTTTCCTGTACAGGAAAGATGGACTTGGCCAAACTCTCATCGCCCCAGTGAGTCCGATCATCTCTTAGGGATACCAGGGCCCAGTGAAAAGCCGCCTCTTTTCAGGACAGTCGTGAGCCTTTGCGAAGGCGCAAAGCAAATACCCAACGATCCAGAAAGGAGCCATGGGGCCAGTCGCGAGCCAAACGCGTTGCGAGGTCGCGATGTCATCTTGCCCAGATTCTACTGACAATCAGGTACCTACCCCCCCCCACCCCAAAGATCCCCCAACATTAATATGGCTTGGAGCCCTAAGCCTTGCGTGCCGTTCTCTCCTGTACGTCTAAACAACATCGATGTTGGTTGTTTAAACCAGTGGGGTGCTTTCCACCGCTTCTTTGGACCAGGGCATACCAAAAGGAAACGCGCACACGACCCCATGCTTCCACAGTCTGCAACGGACTGCCCCCTCTCAGAGGCCCAAAGGACCTGAAAGTCAAGGGTTCACCTTTTGCGACCGTCACATAAACATGATCCACACCAAAACCAAAAGGTCAACCAAAACCAAAAGGTCAACCGTCACTAAACATTATTTCAGGTCGATTTGCTTTGGCCAACTGAGTTGAAAGTTGGCCAACCCTGCTTGTTGGCGCTTGGTCTGTTGTCGCTTGGTCTGTTGACCTTAAAAACCATCGAAGAGATCTTCTGCGCTTCTCTCCTTTGGGATCGCGCCTGTGTCAGAGGCAGCAGAGCTGGCCGCGTGCTCACGCCACCTCACACGCGGGGGGGGGGGGAGGCTCAGTGCGGACACACCTTACCTCCACTTCGGGGTGGAAGCTGTGAACCCCTTGGTGTTTGCTACTGTGGATGGTTGCGAAATCCGAGACCGCACCACGAACTGAAACCATGGTTGAAACCAGTGTTTGCTGGTATTTACAGGGGAATCATCATTCTAGGGTTTCTTGGGTGGTGCGAATTGGATTTCGGCCATCCACAGTAGCACCACAGGAGACCAGCAAAAAATCCACGACTTCGACTTGGAAACCACTGGCCAGCTAAACGCTTCGGAGCGACCGGGGGTCTTGCTCGCGAGCTCACTCAAGTTTGACGTGGAAGGGAGGGATCCTCCAAGCTTTCTTTGCAGGGCCAGTTGCAACTGGGAGCCCCACGGAGCTCTGAAACCTCAATTGAGTCACAATCAAAAAAAAGTTTCCCCAGAACCACGCTTCAAGCATTAAGCAGGCGGAATTCCGCACCTATTTATGTCAAGGGGATCGTCCCTTACTATCCTTCTACCCGAAAAAAAAAGGGCTTTGAGCGATTGTGACTCACTCGGTCCGAAACCGGGGCTTTTGACCTTTCAGCTTCCCCTTTTCGGCCGCAAAACGAAAAACTCGCCGCTGTTTTCAAGAGCCACCGTCTGAGTCCTTGGGGTGTGCTAGGACACCCACCAAGCCTAAAACTGGGCTTGCCCGATGTCTGACCCGCGAGAAGTGACGGACTTTTGGTGGGCGAAATACGGAAGCTGCCACTAAACCAGCCAAAAGGATCTAAAAAGCTAAGGAACCGGATGGCTGGGAGCCACCAAGACAAGAGAAGAGGGGGCGGCCACTGATCCACCGGGCTCTGTGCAAGCTGAAATGCATCGCCGGAAAGCTGCAAAGGTTGCAATGACACTGCCATAGGCGCAAGAGCGAGGAAATCGAGAGACTGCAAACCCAAAGAATGAATCGATTTCAAAATGGAGGGCGGCCTCCTTGTTGAGTCACTTTTTTCCCGGAGAAAGGAGCTCGCCCACTGCTTGAAAGCAGAGCAAGACCGTGATCGGCTAGGAAACCTCGACCGAAATTCAAAAGAAAACTGATCCGAAGTTTTGTATTTGGCTGCCCGCAACTCAATTCTACCTTGCTCCTCCTTTACTGGTCCGTCCGATTCGGATCCCCTGCTGAAGTGACCAATTGTTTGCAGGTTCAATGGAAACCAACTAGACCAACAAAAATCAAAAAACAAAACAGGGAACCGGCCGATATTCGCTGGGAACCCCCCCCCCCAAAAAAAAAAACGGAACCTATTCACCACAGTCCTCGCTTATTTATTTTTTTTTAAAAGGAACCTCTTCACCACCCTCCTCCTCCAAAAACTACTTCCAGCCTGAACCCACCGGCCGATTTGGCGCCCGGGCTGCTTCAAGTTCACCTTCTCCCCGGGCGGTGCGGGCCTCCGCTGACGTGCGGGGCCTTTGGTGAGGTACTGTACTTGGGGCGATCGGGTACTTGGCAACTGGTGAGTAACCATGGTTCTACCGCACTGAACGGAGACTTATAACCATGGCTGTTGTGGGTTACCAGGGTTGCTAACCACATACTAAGTCTTGGTTGACTTTGGAAGGGGAGCAAAAATCGTCCAATTCTAGCTGTTTTCCGTGTTTGGATATTTCAACCACTACACCACCATAAGATCAAAAATGGGAATTCAAGTCTTTCCCAACAACCATGAAGTACCGGTACCCGATCGCCCGATCGCCCCGTAAAAAGATCGGGGCAACGGTTCCTGGATCCGATCCGCCCAGCTTTCCAGAAAACCTCCGGAGACCCAACGAGAAAACGGGCTGATTTATTGAAAGGAACGGGCTGGTTGAAAGAATGGACAAGGAATCAATTCCTAGAGTTATACGTTGGTCTGTTGGTTCGAAAAAGGAAACGCAAAAAACAGGCGAGTTGCGCCAGGTAAGACTAACGGCTGTCGATCCAGCAGGGGCCCTCTCTTGGTTTTTATGCTCTCGGGAGGGTGCCCGCAATCTATATTGTTGTCACCAAAACCTTCCTAACACGCGGCTAAACTAGGACGTTAGTGGAAAGACCCCACTTTACCCTTCAAAGGCTGTCCTTTTGTGGGGCGAAATGAGGTTCTGGGCTTCCTGGGTGAAGCCACCGAATTTGCAAGCGACCTGAAGTCAGAGAGTTGTTTTCTCACGGGAACACCACGTTCGACCGTCCAAGCCCTCATCCCCCAACCTCCCCAATCCCATCACTAAAATAAAAAAACGCAGGCTTGCTAGCCGCTCAGTAGCAGATCCCTCGCCTGAAGTACGCCAAGGTAATTTGGCCGGTTTTCGAGCGGTTTGCCTTGGAGAAACAACCAAGTATCAACCGAGAGTACTGGAGAGTGCTTGGATTTGCACACTCCAACTGACCAACTGTCCAACACCAGCCAAACAGGGGCTCCACCATTCTCAGGAGGCCAGTTCTTTCGGCCCTCGGCCCTACTGTGGATGGACAAAATCCTACACCACTTTGAAGCCATGGTTGAAACCATTGTTCCTTGGGATTTACAGGGGGAATCATCATTCTAGGGTTTCTTGGGTGGTGCAGGATTTCGTCCATCCACAGTAGCACCACAAACTGCAACCATGGTTGAAACCATCAGGTTCGTGGGTATTTACAGGCGCATCTCACCATTCCAGGGTTTCTTAGCTGGTGCGCAAGAAAATTGTCCATCCACAGTATCAGTGTGTCTATTTTTGAGGATACCCCTTTTAGGATGGTTTTCAAGGAAAGGCGAGCCATGGAGTTCGCAACCGCAAAACATAAAAAAACTCTCACCGCCGCAGCGCGCGAGCGCGCCTCTGCCAAACCAGCAGCACCATCGAGTCTGTGGCCTCGCCCGAGGGTTCGGAGTCGCTGATGCAATTTTCCTAGAGCCTCCTTCTGACCCTTTAAACATGGTTCGTCATTACCCTAAATGGGGTGGACCTAATTTTGATTCGGGTCATGGAGACTCCAGGTTGGGGAGTTTTCGGAGCTCGGAAATGGAAAGCCCAGCTCCGAGCTTCGCCCTGGAATGCGGCTTCCAACAAAGGATCACAGCAGGTGAAGCTACATCCATAAGATGAATCAAAGGAGACAGCAGTTTCCACGTTCCACACTTTCTTTTCTTTTTGTTGCGTTCATGTTGATGAAGGGGTGCAAAAATACACGTACCCTTGGATTGCATATCTTTTTTGCGGGGGGGGGTGCGTGCATTTTGATGAAGGGGTGCAATCACGTTTTACCCTTGGATTGCAGTGCCATGCGTTCGGAGCAGCCTCAGTTTTTGCCGCGCTTACTGGTCCTGGCGCAACGATGCTCCTTGTTGGCTGGTTTTCACGTGACACCAAGAGGAAAGCCGAAATCCATGTTTGGTGCGACTTCGATTCTTGTTTCTGGCGCGGGAGTGGAGTTGAACCCTATTCACTTCCAGGATTGTGGGAAAGAGGGTAAAACTACGAACCCTGTTTGAAGCCAACAAAGCATCCCCCATTTCTGAAACATACCCGGATCTATCCAGAAGAAAGCTTACGCAGCCCCCGTGTCACGCGATTTGGGAGGTCACTCTGAACTTGCACCCCGGCCTTGTGAGCTCGCTACAAATGTCATAGGAAAATGGAGATTTCAGGGTCGTTTTAAGGGGACATCCAAGGAAACCCAAAAGCAACTGCAAGAACCCAAAGCAGACATATGAGCTGACTTCAAGAGAAAACCTGCACGAAAATGGTTCGCGCTCTTTAGAGACAAACCCATCTGAGGATTGTTCAGAGTAAGAAAGAAAAAGCTCCTAAATTGGGTTCAAGTGGGTTCTGACCTCAAGAGCCCAACAAACAGAACCGAATCGTTGTTTGGACAACCCTCATGCTGCGTCGAAAACTCGGTTGTCTAAAGACCAGGCCCATCTCCCAAACTCCAACTACCCCCCCCCCCGGGCGGTATTTTGGTGAGTTTGCCCCATGCCGTCCAGAAACGTCAGCTGGCGGTCTGCACACATTCTCTTCTGACATTCGGTTTTTTGAGGTCCGAGCCCTTAGGGCTTGATTCCCACTTCTCAGTCCTTCTCTTCCACCGATCGCTGGGCCTTATCCCCCCCCCCCCCCCCAATAAATCGATTGCTGCGCCCACGTGATCGGCCCCGTGCGAACTTGAGTGAGTGAGTTTCCAACCTGGGCGTTTGATTTCCCAGGACTCGGATCCCTGGCTTCAGACTAAATCCACATGGACGCCTCGCCCAGTCAACTGTTTCGGCGAGCGCCACACACGAAGCCCCCGCCCCGCCACTGCAAGCGGGGGACTTCCATTTGCGGAAGCCCCCTGGAAAAAATAAAATATATGTCCAGTCGTGATCGATTCCTTTTTAAAACAAACAGGGGAAATAAGAAATATCCATCAACAAATGGAACTTGGCTGACGTTGGAAGGGGAGCAGAATTTAGATTTTAGTGGGGATTTCCCACAACACCACAATAAGCAAAAATGTAAAATGTTTCCCAACACCAACCATGGGAAGAGGAAGCAAAAACCCACGAGAGTTTTCCCCCGGCCTGCATGGAGATGCCCGATACCGCGAGCCCATGCCTGGCGCTCGAACTCTCTCTCGGCGTCGTGGGGCATTTGCTCGACGTGGGGCTAGGGCCCAAAATTTAAGGGGGGAAGATAAAAAGGGTCGGCCCAAAAAACATAGGATGCTTCTTCTTGAAACTAGCCCCAGTGAACATCCCAATCCCCACTGAAATAGACCAAAATGGGTGGTGCACCTACCCCAAAATGGGATCCCATTGGTTTTGACCCACGGCCAAACGTGTGGACGCCTCCAGGGTTCAGTTGGTTCCTATTGGTTTCCATGACAAGCCATTCAAAAACGATTCCCCCACTGTTGAGATAGACCAAACTCGGTTGCTTTCTGCTTCCCTGCCAAAAGTTTAACTTTTAGTGGTTTCATGGAAAACCCATTAGTTGGCAAAAAGTTAAAGTCCTAACATCCAAGCAAAATGCAACAACGCAAATATCTGAAGACGGGTACTCTTCGTGGGCTTCAGTGAAACCTATTCCTCCATTTGTTCTTCGGCCGTTGGGAGAAAAAAGAAATAAAATAAAATAAAAACGAACATCTGTCCAGCAGTGCTACATTCCCTTCAAAATTGAAAGCACCAGGGAAGAATAGCCTTCTGTCAAAAGCAACAAAAACCAACAGGGTATACTAAAAATAAGAATACACCTGGAAGTATTCAGGGGCCCCATGCAACTCATTCGCCAATTTGAAGATGCGCCGGGACGCTTCGGGTTGGGCGTTTCAAGCTGCTCCGTGGAACGAAGCCGACCGGTGGCACTGGTGCCACCTCCCGCTCTCCAAGAATCATTCCAGAAGCTTCAGGTCCCCGGGCCCCGATGTTTCGGATCCCATTTCTGCTAAAAGTGAGTAGCTGGCACGTGGCAGGTGGGGTAAAAAATGGGGAAACTACCCACTAAAACCAAGTAAAAAGTAAAAGCGAAAGAGGCTAAGGAACCCGGAGGGCTGACAATCACCCAGATTTCTTTTTCCGAAAAGGTTTAGGGGCGATTCGGTCATACAATCAGGCATACATCGTTCATAAAAGAAGCTAGGGAACCTTGGTTGCTTTTGACCCCCCCGCAAAAAGTTTAACTGTTTGGGGGTTTAGTGGAGAATTTATTGATTTCAACCAAAAAGTTAAAGTCTAAAGATCCGTTGCCCCATAGCAGTCAAGGAAAACCGGATGCCTGTTCCAGGAATTCCGCTTCATGAATTCCCGTCTCGTCCAAACGGCGCCAAAATCGGCCCATCGCCCCATCGGCCGCTCGAACCGGCCCTCGAACCGGTTCGCCTGCCCAGGATCTTGATGCCGTGGGCCTCGGAAAATTGAAATGGCTGGGGCAAAAAAAATGGTAACCCCCAAAATGGCTTGCCCTGGTAAACTGCTTAGGGTTGAGGGTTGCTGCGTTGACGGTAGTATCTTAGTACTGTGGCAAAGAGTGATCCGGCACGTTTTGACTGCGCAGCACGGCAAATGGAAACATGGACGATTTAACCTGCGGTCCAATTCCTAGTGGTTTAATTTTGAACCAAAACGAACTCCGAGCGCCGCGAAACGAAGCCGCGGAATTGGTTGGTTTAGCCATTGCTCCAGCAAGCCACGAGAAGTGGATGAATCCAAGACCACGCCAAATTGAAACCCATGGTTCAAGCCATTGCTTGTTGGTATTTATAGGGGAATCATCATTCTAGGGTTTCTTGGGTGGTGCGAATTGGATTAAAAGGTGGGATCCTCAAAAGGCTTCACTAAAACCCAAACTGCAAGCAGTTTACACAGGCAACCCCCGAAGATTTGCCGTGACGTACCGCGGACTGGGTTTGAGAGCGCTCGGTTTACTTGCAATTTTGGGGCAACCACCGTATCAACTGTAAAACAACCACGAGAAAAGTGAGCAAAAGATTTAAAGACTCACTGGTCCAAAGCGCCTGGACATAACAGCCTAACCCTTTGGAACCTTGACTAAGAATAGACAAAAAGGGGAAAACGCAAAAGGTCAAAAGGCCGGATTTGGCCAAGTCAGAATATTGTTTCAAACATACAGGCACAAAGAACGGAGGACAGTGGATATCCCGAAAGCATTGTCTGGCGTGCCGCAGGGATAAGAACGCGCTCCCAAAGCAAAGAACAGAGAAGCAGCTCGGGTTGGGATCCGTGGATACCCAACGAAACTTCTGCCTCGATGTGTTGTTCATCTTCAAGACGTATTCTGCACCATTGCCATATTTTGAACGTACGATGATAAACAAAATGTTTTCACAGTCCCGCGACTTGCACGCCACGGAGAGAGCCCGTGCCGCTTCAAAGTTTTCCGGGTGTTGCGCATCAACAAACCGCGAAAGCGCTCGAAAGTGGCATTTGCATCTGGTGTTCCCACATCGACCCGCGAGAACCACGCAACCCTGTCGTGCCGCGAAAAGGCTCTAACTTTCTTGATCTGAATGCCAGCGTGCTGGGACAAGTCTTCGGGCACAAGTCTCCGAGAGCATCTTCTCTGCGACGGCGCATTCTCTTGCCGCGCTGGTTTGTGTGAGCCGTTGGCAAAAACTACACAAAATGAATAAATCAAAGTCCTGAAGCCATAAACAACCCGCCGGACCGATAACCGGCGCGGCAAAATCGGACGTCACCGCGCTCGTGGTGCAGCCAAGCGTGCACGGCCCTTGGGTTTTTGCACTTACCACAACGCGCCCCCGTCAAAACACGTGCGATGCTCCAGTGTGCTTCACTGAGGCCAAACAAGAGAAATCAAGAAAAAGAGCAGCATTTCCGTCACGAAAGTTTCGTGGTTTTAGAACAAGCATGTGCATCTTGCTTCAGCGACGCACGCAAACCTGTGCACGCGTTCTTTGTAAGTGCTTCGGGGGGGCTGTGGTCATCGGGTGCCATGGCCGCTGCTGACCTGGCATGCTCAAGCTACGGTGATCTTGCGCGGGTGCCATTACACACACACACACACAAACAGCCACAGCCGAGACAATAGAACCTCAACGTATTCCGGGCGTGCGACGGAGAGCGTGGACGTGTGAGCTTATACTTTGTGCCAGGCATGTGCTCAGGCGTGCGACGGAGAGCGTGGACGACTGTGCTTATACTTTGTGCCAGGCATGTGCTCAGGCGTACGACGGAGAGCGTGGGCGCGTATAGGCATGTGCGCAGGCGTACGACGGAGGGCATAGGCGGGTGTGCTTACCGCGTGCTCAGGCGTGCGACGGAGAGCAGGAAAACCGTGCTACGTGCCAGCATGCGCTCGGGTGTGCGACGGAAAGCCTGGGCGGGCGCGCTTACTATGTGTCAGGGTGTATACCGGAGAGCGCGGGCAGGTGCTTTCCGTCTGCCAGGCATGTATGCAGGCGTGGCGACGGAGCGCGCGGGCGGGCAAAAACCCACGTTTAGTGGCTCGGTAAAAGTCCGCTTGCTTAAACATCGCGGCTGCAAGTTCACCAGGTCTATGGAGTTGACCAGGTTTCATCCAGAGCCATTTAGAGATGGAAATCCATGCGCTTGGCGGGCAAACGAAAAACCATGAACGCCACGCCGGTTTCCGCGGCGTAGGCATAAGCAAGCTAGCGTAGAGAAACCAAATAGGGCAAGAAACCCATGAAAAGCCAACTAATTGGGACCCAAAAATCAGCGAGTGGCCGAATTAAAGTGTTCAAAGTCTTTGGCTTGAGATTTCATTTGCCGGGCAACGGATCCCAGAAATTGTCGGAGCGGGTGTAGGGCGCGAGTGGCAGCGGAACTTGTGGCACTCCGCGGACTTGAGAGAACTGCCAGGAAAGCAAAGTGGCACTGGGAAGCAAAGTGAATAAAGTAGCAACAGGTCTCCTGGCCCTTTAAACATCACCCGAAAAGGAACCTCGCCAAAAAAGTGGTGGAAGCAGTGATGGGGAAATATAGGGGACTGTGAGGAAAGCAGGGAAGCAAAGTTGGGCAGGAAAAAATGCAGGAACACAAAGTAGGAAACAAGGTAGTACGACGCCGGGGCACAAGCTAAAACAACAAAGTAGGGAAGCTACGTGGGAAAACAAGGCCAGGAAACAACGCTAGGAGAAAAGGTGGGAAAACAATATCGGAAACGAAAGTAGGGGAAACAAGTAACAAAACTAAGCATGTTTTCTTACTATGCACACTTTGTAGGGAGACAACGGAGGGAACAAGATAGGGAACGTGGGGAAACCAAATAGGGCAATAAAACAAGGCGAACAAGTCCAGCTGCGTTGTGTGTCTTCGAGCTCGAAGAGCGAGGGCAACCCTACCCATAGGGTATACCGCTGACGTGTTTTGTTGCACCCCAAGCTCCTCCTCAGCATTGCCTGCATCACCTGCACGCAGGCCGGCCCAAACACTTGGACCCCAAAACATCCCCGACCTCCCTGGCCTTGCGACGGGCTTCTGATGCCACGTTGCCCGACCACCAAAAAGAACGGAAAAATACCGTGCAAATCGCCCCGGACAGTCGCCAGCATCCCCGCCAACATCCTCTGCATCCTGCTAGCATCCCCGGCAATCCCTGCATCACCAGCATCTGGGCGTTCCAGCATCCCTTACATCCCCTGCATCCCCTCCCCTGAGAGTAGGTTTTGGCGGTAGGCGGACATGGCGGACAAGTCTGCGATCGAGTGGGTGGTTTTTCTTGCTTGCGCGAGTGCGGCCGCCGCCGCTGTGCGGAAAACATTGCGCATACCGTGTTTTTCCTGCATTTGTCCACCGGTTTCTGTGGGGCTGGGACGGGCTGCCGGGGATGCTTTTTTTGGTCTGATTGGCTTTCGGTGTGAGACACGTGTGGCGCGCGGCGCCGAACGCAAGCGCCGGACGCGGTGGGTGAGTGCGTGCTCAGTGTCAGGGGGGTTGGGCAAGCAACCTTGCAGCCTCTTGTGCGTGTGGGTGCGCAGCGAGCGCGTGCTTGGGTTGGTCCGGAGGTCAGGCTCTGAAACAAGGTCCCGCCTAAATAGAGTTCTTCTTAGTCCTCCCCATCTCACCTGTCCGACCGGGCAGCGCAGCTGGTGATGGCGAAGCCCTAGGATAAGGACAAACTGGGGGAAGCCAAATGGTTGAAAACACGGCAACAAAGCAAAATCAGAACACATAGGACAAAACCACAGTAGGAACCCAGCGAAAGAAGCAACGGAAAACAGAGACGGGAAGCAAGACTGGGGTTCAAACACCAAATATCGAGGCACTTTCCGGGCATTTGGGCTCTGGAGGTATGGAGCTTAGGTAAAAACTGCGTTGCAAGCTTCTATTGGCGAAATATGGCCATGGGTCAAAATCCAAATCGCACCCTCAGTGAACATCCCAATCCCAACTAAAATAGACTAAAATGGGTGGTGCGCCTACCCCAACATGGTACCATTGGTGTTTCCACCCTATAAGCTTTAACTTCCAAAAACCCATACCTGGAAATGCCGGGAGAGAAATACTGTGGAGGGTTGCGAAGTCCACTTGGCACCGTTCAGAAACCCTGGAATGAGCCAACAAACGTCCTGGTGTCCCCGAACTCTCGGATTTCGCCCATCCGCGGAAGAAGCCAAAAAAAGAAGAAAACGAGAAGGATGAAAAAAACAGAAAAGTAGGGAAGCAGATGGCCGAGAGGCGATGACCGCCTTGGCATTGGCCTCCAACTGCTCCTGAGGCATGTCGTCGGTTTTTGGACCAGAAGGGGGCACCTCTCCCATGGAACCGCGGGTTCCTGATGACTTCTTACTTTCCCTTAGGGGACATAACAGAACAAGGGTCTGTGTGGAAAAGGCGGTCAAAGTTCAGTTCCATCGCGTCTTGAAACAAGACTTGGAGCCGTTGGGCAGGTCCCTTTTTTTTGGTTGCCCTTTGATGCTGGACATGTGCGCTCCACCAAACTGACCGTTCGAAGGATCTTCATCCGCCGGTCACACCCTTCCAACGCGAGTCAACCCATCGGTTTAAAATGTGTAAGCACCTTTGAACAACCTTCTTTTGCAGGGTGTCTGAAAGGATACATCCAAAGTCCTCCCTCTGCTGGCACTTTCTGTCTTTCAGGGTCCCGTTGAACGGGTTCCGATCGCTCGCACCAAAGGACACTCATGCTTTAGCCGAAAGGAAAACCCTCCGTTGGAACCCATACATCGCCCAACTAATTCCAATGTTCCTTCTCCTTGCTTCTAAAGGAGGCGATCGGCGCTCGCAGTTGGTGACCCTTCTTCCCTTCCAGTGTCTGTCCTCCTGCATCTGACAGAAGCCGAAGCGCACGCTCACGCAGTTCCCCCGGTTGAGGCGGAGGCAAGTGCCCGCCATAGCCTGACTTCGACTGCGACTTCGATGCCCTGACTGAAGAGTTGAGTCATCAAAACCCGGTGTTAAAATGGTACTCCCAAAGTGCAAAGAACTAAGAAGTTGGGAACGACCCTACTGAGGCACGCCGGTCAATCTGCGCCAGCACGGAAGAAACACGATTTGAATGCTTGATAAACCACCGAAAGCCAACTGGTGCGAGCCAGATTTTCAAAGGTATCACTCCCATTCTCTGGCCGCCTCGCGATAGAGCCACCTCAAGTGAGCATGCTTATTGCCAACGATGAACAAACGCGAGAAAATGATGGTTGGGCCACCGTCACTCTTCATACCCATAAACAAAAAAAAAAACGAATCTTAACTTCGCTGTTGACGGAGGGTCGATTCCACCAATCGACCTTCAAATTCTAGAAGAACCCAAACAGCTATAGATGACCTCAGTTGAGCAGACAAAATGTCGGAGTATCAACATTATGGCTGTCAAGCTTGCATATCGTTTTTGGGGGCAATGTGGAAAGGGTACTTGTGCCCTTTCCCAGTTTCCACTACAACGACAATCAGTATCATACCGTGGATGGACGAAATCCATTTCGCACCTAAGAAACCCTGGAATGAGTTGCTTCCCCAACGTAAATACCAACAAACGTTATGAGTTCTCCAGGTTTCAGTTCGTGGTGCGGTCTCGGATGTCGATTTCAACCATCCACAGGATTGACACTCCTCCCCGCCGTCCGCCTTGAGTTCTCCCGGGAGCCCATGCTAAAATATCTTACCCGAATGGTTCAACGGGAATCCAAACAAACTCGGCTTCACTTGCAAACACCATACTGTGGATGGACAAAATCCTGCACCAATTTGAAACCATGGGAAACCATAATTTGTTGGTATTTACAGGAGAATCATCACTCCAGGGTTTCTTAGGTGGTGCAGGATTTCCTCCCTCCACAGTAGGAGTTGTCACCGGGGTCTCCAAAACGTGTTTGTATCTGTGAGACAAAATATGAAGCAGAACCATGTGTCATATGTTGGTGTCGGGGTTGGGCCGGTTCAACGCACATGCGAACGTCGCAAGCGAAACCCATGTGCCTTCCGGATAAACACCGCAGGATCATCTGTGGCCTCTTTCCTGAGCCGCCCGGAAAGCGAAACGAAAAGCAAATGGAATGCTTCCGCGCAAAAGGGGGTCAAGAATTGGCATCGGCATGAAATTACAACCTGGGCTCGGCAGGTATATTTCAAGAACATACAAGAACTGGGAAACACATCCCGTGGTGGATGTGTTTGCCGTGAAGGCAAGGGGAACACTCCTACTTTTGGAAGATACTGCTCAGGTTGGTGTTCGGCTGGAATTCATGGTTTGATGCAACGCGCAAACACCAGCCAAAAACCTTAATGATCCTAAAGCAAACACAACAGCTGCAAAACTAGCCCAAAGCGCTCAGCCACACGGAATCCCAACCCGATTCAGGCAAACATCACCCTCGATCCTGCCTGAACCACTCCTACAGCGACACAAAGCAATCCAAGCCCCAATCAACTGGAACTCTGCCCTGAAGCAACCTCAAGAAACCTGCGAAGTGTAGCTAAACCTGGCAAAGCAAAGCAGAAAAATCATCATACTTAACCAAGCGGCCAAGCAACAAAGCAGCCAAGCAACTAGGCAGCCAAGCAACCAAGCAACCAAGCAAAACAACCAAGTAGCCAAGCAACCAAGCAACCAAGCAACGAAGCAAAACAACCAAGTAGCCAAGCAACCAAGCAACCAAGCAACGAAGCAGCCAAGCAACCAAGCAGCCAAGCAGCCAAGCAGCCAAGCAGCCAAGCCATGCAACCAAGCAACCAAGCAGCCGAGCAGCCAATCAATCAGGCAGCTAAGCAACCAAGCAACAAAGCCAAGCAGCCAATCAACCAGGCAGCTAAGCAACCAAGCAACAAAGCCATGCAACCAAGCAACCAAGTAGCCAAGCAACCAAGCAGCCAAGCAACCAAGCAACCAAGCAGCCAAGCAGCCAAGCACCTAAGCAGCCAAGCAGCTAAGCAACCAAGCAGCCAATCAACCAAGCAGCCAATCAACCAAGCAGCCAAGCAGCCAAGCAGCCAAGCAGCCAAGCAGCCAATCAACCAAGCGGCCAAGCAACAAAGCAACCAAGCAGCCAATCAACCAAGCAGCCAAGCAACCAACGATGCCTGGCAGGGTGAAGGGCCAGACAAAACAAACACCAACCTTTCCATTTCGTGGACCCAACCACTTGAGGCCAGGCAATACACCTAGCCAAACCGGCCAAAACCCGCCCGGACGAAACTGGAAGTCGCCAAACAATCCCAGACGGTCAAGCCTGTAAGCCTTCCCAAAACTGAGCTGTCCTCAGATCCCCCGCTCAAAGTGACTAACTTTTAGTGGTTGGTTTTCCAGCACAAAAAACATACATTAGGCTAAGGAACCGCATGGCCTTCGGGAGCCAAGAAAACGAAAACGGGTCCAGACGTGTGGTGTGGTCAGACGAGCGAGCCGAGGTGCAAGGACACGGGCACCGGCTGCTTGGACGTCTTCTGCTTGAAGAAGGCGTCTGAGCGCCGCAAGGGTGGTGAGGACGTTTTCTGCCGGGGGGGGGGGTTGGATGTGCAAGGTTCATCAATTTTCTGGTGAAGTCCAGTAAAATTCCCGCTTGAGGGGGGAAAAGAACCGCTTTTGTTGGAGTTGGGGCCGGCTGCTTTTTCCAACCTGCAAGCTGACTTTCTCGGGGGCCCGAAAAGGAAACCAAAAGGCAAGAGGAAGGTCAAAAAGCACGTTTGGGGTTGGGAAAGCGGGGTCCAACCCATTTTTGCAATTTTGGGGGTTGGTGCGGGGTTGGTTGATTTGAGTCTTCAGGTGAAACCCATTGAACAAGCACACCTGAGCCCTGAGTAGCGAGAACGAGCTCAGATCTCCGGCTCCCGAGGTAGCTGTGCATGCCCTGGATCACCTGAGATGTTGCGAAATTTGGCGCCGCGGCTCAAACAAATGGAGACCAAAATGGCCCCCAAAGACTAAAACACCAAACACTAAAACCAAAGAAAATGGAACCAAAGATTAAAACCAAAGACTAAAACCTGCGGTTTGCCCTTCCTGAATTTTGAGCGCCCCAAGAGCCGGAGCCAGAGCCAGAGCCGAGCTGCTGGGGCTTAACGGGAAACAGACAAACACCCACAGTGCCCTCGGTAGCGAAATCTGCGAAGCCCGGCAGAAGAAGTGACTAACTTTTGGTGGTTTCATCCGGAAAACCCATGAGTTGGCAAAAGGTAAAGTCCGAACATCCCTTGGCAAAATGCACCAAGGTACCCTCGCACCAATTGACATGCTCGCTGCAAAAGGAAAATGGTTCAAACCAGGACCCCCGAACGTCAGGCTCCAAGTTAACCTTGGAACCTATTTGAGGTCCGTTTACTCTTGGCCTTCCCAACAATCAAATTCCCAAAACAAGCCACCAGGTATCCGTATCCGTATCCCCAACCGCAAATATCGCAACCCTTCTCTTCCCGTTGCTTTCTCCCCCCACTGGAAAAAATGAGAAAATATGTCCAGTAGCGAAATCGATTCCCTTCAAAACCAACAAGAGAGAGAATACAATACATATGGGTGTGGGTCAAAACTAAACAAACAGGGGACCGCAGGGTTTGGTCCATGTTTTCGCTTTTTATTTTGGGCACCTGTCTTTGACCAACAGCCATATGTACAACTACAAGATGAAATCGATCTATTCAGAGAAAAAAAAGTAACTTATATTTTAACAAACAATGTGATATATATATATATACAACTACAAAAAATGTGCCAATGAGAGTTCCGGAACTCCCAGAGACTGGCACAGGCCCCATAGCTTGAGGGCCTCCGGCTCTCGACGAATCGCAAAACCGCCGGGGAGTCTACGCAGCTGGAGGTTACGCAGCTGGAGGACATAGGTAGCGTAAACTGGAAAAATCGAGGGGTTTTTTTCTGGTGCTCTGGAACAAAACCCATCTAAACCAGTGGGTTCCCCATCTATTTTTGAAAAAGGGCTCACCTGAAAAGGACACCTATGCAGCTGGAGTTTACGCAGGTGGAGTTTGCGCAGGTTTTGGTCTTTGGCGCCGTTTGCCAAGGATTGCCATTTTGCCCCAAATTCGGCGAGTCTTTGGTGCCAGTTCCCAAATGGCATTGAGTCTTTGGTGCCATTCGGATCGTCATTCCCAATTTTTTTTGGAATGAGGGAACTACGCTCCGGTGGATCCCCGGACTGGAAGGCACCTGCGATATTCATCAGGGGCGCCTGCCTCAAGGAGTCAAGGGGTAGGGTTTTCTGGTGCTGGAGAAACCAAGAACATGACTAAGAAGCGTGGTAAGGGAAAACCAAAGGCAGCCACCCCTTTTTGCGGGGTCTCATGAATGAGACGCACCCAGTGCTTGCTGATTCTCAGGGAATCAAGAAGGGTTTCGGGCAGCAGAGGGATCCTGCGACATAAAACTTGGGGATGGTTTAATAAAGGGGTCTGAAATAATAAGAATTGGGGCTCATGGGAGTAAACTTTCTTGGTATGGTAGCAAAACAAACAAAACCCTAAAACTTGCTAGCAACAGAGAAGCAAACCAGTAGTAATCCTTCCGCTCCTTTTTTGTTTTGTTAGGGCATTCCCTGCCTATCGAAGCACAAGGTGAGCTTCTTCAGGAAGAATCTTGAAACCGGACACCCCCAATTTTCCCTGTTTAATAGATGGACACCGAAAGGGCAAAAAAAAGAAGTCCAAATATTCGAATCCCTGTGGCTTTTTCAATGAAGAGCCATCCTCACGTAGTAAACAAACTCATATTTTCTCTCTGAACATGACCCCGAAAAAGAAAAAGCACCTTTTCTAGCAACCAACAAGCTGATGTTTTGCTTTTCTCCAGCGGTTCAAGAACCACGTCCAAAAGAAACCCACCCTTCTCAACTCCCAGAACCCACCCACTAGACGACCCGGGCCCGCTTGTCGCACAAGAAGAGGTCGTAGGAATCCGCCAGCTGCCGCCGCTCCATGGAGCGGACGTATCTCCTGTCAGTCCGTCAGTCCGTCAGTCCGTCGGTCCGAGCGGTCGCACAACACATCGGGGGGCAGGCCCCGATCCCGCCTGAGCTGGTGACTGTTGGGCCCTCCCAAGAAGAAGGCACCAGGGGACGCTGAAAAAACAAAAAGCCCCCCCCCCCCCCAACAAAAAAAAGTCTCCCTTGAAAACCACTCTACGGGTTGATTCCTTGCCCATTCTTTTCAACCATCGTTCTTTTCGAAAACCGGATCCGTTTCTGTGGGTTTCCGGAGGTTTTCTAGAAAGAAGGATCCCTGAAAAGAATGGGGAAGGTAGCACTAGAACCACCCCAAAAAGAAGGCACCAGGGTACCCTGCAAAAATTAGCCCCCCCGCCAAAAAAAAAAAAAAGAAGAAAATAATAATGTCTGAGTGGAGTCCTCCAAAAATCGTCCGCAAGAGGCAAGGATGAATAAAAAAATCCACAAAGAACGAGCTAGATTAGTCTGCAAAGTCAAGAATTCCAAAACCTAAAACAAGAATTGGAGCCTCAAGCATCTCGCGTTTTACCCTCGATTCGGTGAGCTTGCCATAAAACAGGCAGTAGTAATGCCCCCACAGCCCATGACGTCATGTCCACGGTTGAGGGGTTGAAGATTGTTGCAGAACTCATCTCAATCAGGACTACAAACGTCTCATGCCCTAAATATGCAGGTAACCAGGACAGCCCTTGGGTTCCACACTCGTGGACATCATTTCGGGGATGAATGTCCAACCACCCTTCCAGGGCTTCCCTCTTTTTAAAATTCATGGCCACATGCCTACAGGATTCTTGCCTGAAAAAAAGAGGAAGCATTTCTAGTCTGTGCAGGGAACCATGGGTTGGAAGGTGCGTAACTGAATGTGGGCCTGTGCAAAACTGGGCTGTCTTCAGATCCCCTGCTCAAAGTACCCGGGAGCTTTGAAGCTTGAAAACTGAGCAGCCCAAAATATTGCAAGGGGAACAAGTGCTGAAAAGAACGTACAGCAAGCTTCCCATGATTCCCATGATTTCTGGGTAGTGTGCAAGCTTCCCATGATTCCCATGATTTCTGGGTAGTGTGCTAGCTTCCCATGATTCCCATGATTTCTGGGTAGTGTGCTAGCTTCCCATGATTCCCCTGATTCCCATGATTTCTGGGTAGTGTGCAAGCTTCCCATGATTCCCATGACTCCCGTGATTTCTGGGTAGTGTGGTTGGATGTGGTTGGTGTACTTGCAATACTTGGGGTCCACCATCCCATGGCAAAGAACCAGGCCCACAGCCGCCCCGGTTCACATTCGGAGGAAGCAAACCTTTGGTCTCCAATGTATGGGACCGCGCGTTCCTTTTGGTTTCCATCAAGAGAAGGCTCCCAACAACGCACCGCCAATTCAAAGGACCGCGGTCACTTTTGGGGGATTTTGGATTTGGGCTTTTTGGTAGGCCGTGTCCAAAAAAGGCCCAAGCCAAAGGGTCTGATTTTGGTGGGTGAAAGATGGCGACAAAAGTCAACAATAGGGCCATGGCTTGAAGCGGTGCTTCTTTTCTTCTCCGATCTGTCAGTGCTTGCTTTGATTTGGAAAGGTGCTCCCCTAAGACTGACCATAGATCTTGACCATATGGCCACCAGACATCTCTCCAGAGGATTTTGTCCATGATAGACTTCAACCAACATCCGGTTCCCCAGCTTGGGTTGCGCCTTTGACCCCCCGCCTTTTCTCAGGAAACCATCCAACTTTAGCTTCAACCAAGCGGGTCACAAGGTTCGCCGAGGATCTTGGATCCCTGGACAGGTGATTGAGCTGTGCAACACGAGGCAAACCTCTTGCTAGTGGGACAACGACAAATTGTTCGAATGATCAAAAAATAATGAATCCTTAATGGAGAGGCACAAGACGCAAGCGCCAGAGTGTCTCTTTGCCGGGGCCTGGGTCCCTTGAAAGTTCTTGCAAGCTGGTCACTCACCGCACGTGAGGCCAGCCCCCTGGTTGACCGCTCTCTCAAAAGAGAACAACAACACCAACGGCCCTGGCCGGAACCCCCTGCAAAATGAAAGCTGCCCCAAACCACCCCAGAGCCGATTTGGGCAGAGACCGCATAGCTTCCAGCTGTGGGGGGATTTGCCAAGCACCGCTGGTCTGTGTCCCTCGTCTGCTCATGGGCCATTGCCTAAGACCACTTGGCACATGGCTACGGGAGTCTTGGGTGAGCAACCCTTGCAACTGGGGTCATTATTTTGACGGTTTCGGGGGTTATCAAAGTCAGAAAATGTGGTTGTTTCCTTTAACCCACCCCTTGGGGGGTGACTTTGATCATGGTAAAATAGTGAGACCAGTGCAACCGACTTTGGGTTGGCTGAAAGGGAGAACAAGCGGGTAAATCACATTGTTCTAAGGGTTGATTCCTTGCCCATTCTTTCCAACCATCGTTCTTTTCGAAAACCGGATCCGTTTCCCTGGGTGTCCGGAGGTTTTCTAGAAAGAAGGACCCTGGAAAGAATGGAGAAGGTAGCACTAGAATTGTTTTCACTTTACCCGCCGAGGGAAACCATTGGAAGTTGCATGAAACGGCCCCCCCCCCCCCCTTGACGAATGTCGGCCGCCTCCTACAATGTCGACCCCTGCTTCACGAACCCTGCCGCGTATTGTGTGGATTGCAAATATCAGTGTTTTTTGCAGCCCCCCGCACTAAAATGAACAGAAGCAAAACACAAAAACCCAAATCCATGCCAACAGAAGTGAAGAAACGTCAAGCCCACCGGCCTCTTGAGCTTATCGACTCCGATGACCTGCATGCTTCACTTGGCGCTACGCTTTGCAGGGCAAGAGCGTTTCAAGCAAGTTAGGCCTCTTTTTCGCGACCCAGGCTATTCAAAGGTTCATGTTGAGTGTGTCATCTTGTCAACCCCGAAACAACTCGGTTGGCCCTGCGTTGCCACTGAATCCCACCATCGTTTTCTGCTACATCTGGTACAATCCAAAAAGACCTCTGGTTCTCAACGGATCGAGGAAGCACAAGCAGCAGCACTCCGATCTTCTTTCACCCTAACTGGTTGGGACGTTCGCTGTTCTCAAGCGTCAAAGGCCAGAAATCGAAGGGAAACCTACTCCTGTCGTTTTTTTGGACCGGCCGGAAGGTGCCGTTGATTGGCTTCAACCAGCTAACAACCGATAGAAAGTCGATCAAGTGCGATCAAAGGGCCGACGCCCTTATGGTTCGGCGGCTGTTGATTGGCGTGCGGCTGAGAAGTTTGGCTAGGTCCTCCAGTAGAAAGGTTAGAATAAGGGTACCCTTTTTCTGTAGTCTATTGTAGTAGGGGAACCCTCCCCAAAAAAGGGTAAAAGGGCACTGCTGGGGGACCTAGTTAGTGTCCTTCTGTCAGAGGATTGGAAGTAAGTTTTGCGTTTGCCCCCCTGTCAGTCTCCAGTGGAGAGAGACAACAGGACCACTTCTTGTTCTGAGTCCGGGGGCTTTTTGAACGGACTTGGGCCAATAGGCGTCCAACTCTGCCGCAAAAGGAAAAGGGGGTCCCACCTCCAAAATCCTCCAGTAAAGAGGTTAGAATAAGGGTGCCCTTTTTTCTGTAGTCTATTTTGGTAGGGGAACCCTCCAAAAAGGGTAAAAGGGCACTACTGGGGGACCTCCAAAAAGGAATCCACTCCGCAGAAGGAACTGCCTTTCCGAAGTGTCCAAGTACCCTTCCAGCAGTCATGGAAGCCGACAGCTGGATTTTTGGAAGATGTCCCTTGGAGACGGTCCCTCAAAACCACTTCCATGAGTCTTGGGAAGAAGGGCACCACTTTGAAGGGAAATTTATGTGGCTTTCGTCCAAGAAGTCGCAGCCTGCGACTCGCGCCAAAACCCCATTGACTGTTCGTTCACACAGCAGATATAACCCCTACTATAAATCACATGGAACCACGAAGTAGAACCAGCTACTAAAGGCCAAATACAGTACAGGATTTGGGTACTGCAGAACTTGATTTGAGGGGATCCATCCACTTTTCCGGAGAGGCGTTTCGAAAGTGGGCCCTGCTTTTCCGAGCCACCAAGCCGTGTTCCTTTGGCCAAAGCAAGTCCAATCGTTCTGTTCTCAGCTCAAATGGTCCAATCCATTTGAAGCTTCAAGTCTGAGGACTCCCTAGATGGCTCGACCAAAATCGGTTGGATCTTTTTCCCCACTTTTACGTTCACGCGACTGCAAGGTGGATGCCCCTAAGAACTTGCAAGCAATCCAAGCACCCTCAACCGCAAAAAACCATGGGCATGTATGATGAGGGGGTTCCCTTGTTCTCCTTGCAATACTTGGCACCAACCCCCAACCCCCAACCCCCCCAACCCCCCCCAAGCCCCCCCCCCAAGCCCCCAAGCCCCCAAGCCCCCAAGCCCCCAAGCCCCCAAGCCCCCAAGCCCCCAAGCCCCCAACCCCCAACCCCCAACCCCCAACCCCAACCCCCCAACCCCCAACCCCCAACCCCCAACCCCCAACCTCCCAACCCCCCCAACCCACCCCCCCCCCCCCAACCCCCCAACAAGCTTTGGGTTAACAGACCTTACGGTCTTGGGCGCAGGCCTTGGTCAGGCCTGGCGTGGGATGCTTCTGCATCAGCATCTCCTGCGCTCTTGGCCGGGCGGGATTTGGGGCTCTCAGATCACCTGCTAAAAGGGAGCAACTGAATCACTTTTAATGGGTTCTAAGGGTTTTTGTATTACGACCTGGGAGTGGAAATGACCCCATTTAGGCATATTTCCAGGATGTGTTGGGCCATTTTGGCGTAATCCCAGGGTGTAATACAACAACCCTTAGACCACTAACCTAGCTAAGAAGCTAAACAGCTAAGAAACCGGATGGCTGGGAGCCGCCAAGTTGGCAGTGTGAATTTGAATGAGTCCCGGACCCAAAGGGTGGACATCAGAATTCGCTAGGGAAACAGAGGCAATCACAAGTCACTGTTGAGGTTCGCTATTTCAAGTTCATCGCCACACTCGCCTGTCATGGGTCGCAACCTCTTGCGCACATGCAAGCGCTCCAAGTAGCTCAGGAATTTGGAGCGAGCAAGGCTTCACTTGGTCAACGTTCAACCCTAAACCTCGGATTCGACCAGTTCTCTTGGCTCATGTTGCTCAAGGGCAAAGATGTAACTCGGTGGCGAAATCTGCCCCCCTGCAAAAAGTGTCTAACTTTTAGTGGTTTAATACGGAAAACCCATTACTTGGCAAAAAGTTAAAGTCCTAACATCCAAGCAAAATGCACCAAAGATAAGATGCTACCAATCATTGGCCCAGTTCATCCAAGACAAGAAGTTACTGTGGATGCACAAGACCCTCGCACCATGTATAAAACCCAGGGATAAATACCTGGCAAGTGCGAGGCGGTTTTTGCCCATCCACAGTAAAATGCAGAAATCCCATGGTTGGAGAATTCCCTTTCTCTGATTTTGCACTGACCATCTACATGACATGACTGTAATAGAAAGTGGGCCGGTTGAAGCGAAAAGCAAACTGCTCTTGGATCGAGCTACTACAGTTCACAAGCAAAGGACCTTCAGCAGCTCGTCTTTTTCCCGAATCGCTGAGCCGGGGCGGCTCACAAAAACTCATCTGCCCTAGCCTTCCCCCACACCAGGGAAAATTGATGTATAATTGGAACTCCAGTTCTCACCCTTTTCCCCCATTCCATTTCTAGAAGATTCCATTTCTAGAAGGCGTGGCTGTTGTTCAATCTTAAGCTTCGAATTCGAGTCTTGCCTCCTCTGTTTGGTAAAGGATGCAAGGGGGTGTATGTGCATACTTTTTTTTCACATGGTCATGTACGGATGCCAAGGTATCAGATCCTCGACCGCTCGCTGACGGATCCTTTTCTCGCGGAAGAGTCGCCCGCTGCGCTGCGCCCGCTGTTGGTGCGCCACGCGAAACACCTCGCTGGGCTAGCTCACTTCTTGTCGAGGTGTGCCTTGCAGCAGTGGAAGGACGGGCTCTCATGTGTGTGTGTGTGTGTGTCCCTTTTGCTGGGTGTGTTATTGTTTCTTGAGGTGGTTTTTGAATGAGACTGGAAAACCACCTATGTTTTGGAGGGTGACCTTCTTGAGGTGGATGGAATTTGAATGATCATGGAAAACCACCTTCTTGGGAGGGGTGGCTTGACACTCGTTTGGGGGGTTCTTTTGTATGGCCCGCCCACATTACGCCTGCACATATATCTCAACCAAGGGGATGCTCGAGTCAGGTGCAAATTGCCCGCATTGGGGGAGGTCCCCCAAAAGGAGACTTTTGCAGTGATGCCTTTGGGATGATCCTGGATAGCATGCGGTTGACCATGCTGGCCCTTGGACTTCAAAGGCAAGGTAGGGGACAAGTTTGGTATAGGGATGCCAACTAGAAATTGCAAGGAAACCAAGGGGAACCCCGAAATGATTTAATTACCACGGTCTTGGTGTGTGTGTGTGTGGTTGGATTGCTGGCGTGCCTGCAAGAGAAATCCGTCACCATTGAAACGTTGGGGTTCTTCTTGGCTGGTTTTGAAAGGGTTCCCCCCAAAAGTCGGGGACATGGCACACTGGCGAAGAAGAAAAGTCCAACCCGGAAAAAGCCGAAGTCCATCCCCTCATGCCGAAGCAACCTGATGAAATTGTGGGTTACTCCACATGGGACCCCGAAACTTTTCTAGTGTCTAGTGGATTGGTGAGGGTGTCACGCCACGTTGCGGATCCTTCACACCCGGAGACAGCCCCCTCCAGGAGTCAGGGCTTCAGATCGCCCTCTTCGGCTCTTTGGACTTCTTGTCCAGCCCCCAGTTCCAGTCTCCACCGAGTAAACCCCAACCCAGTAGCTTCCAGCAGGTCACCGGGACCTACAACAGGAAGGTAGCCCTCCGCCATTGATGCATGGGTTCTTCTCTTTTTGCGGGTCGACAGTTGCCGTCCCGTTTCTTTGGGTCTCGACCAAGTGTCTTTCCCCAGCAGACTGGGCCACACAGATCTCACAACAGCGAATGAATAAAATGAATGAAAACCTAAAAGGCAGAGAGCCAAAAAGAAAAAAAGTGCCCAAACTTGGTCCGGCTTACCATAGCCATCTCACAAGTCCAAGGTGACACGGAAAAACCCGGGCGAAATTCTGTTGAAAGCTTGGCGGTGTCAGACGACTCGTCCAAATTTCTGGACTCCAAACAGGGCTCCCTATTTTTTTCCCTTAAAGCCTCACCCCCACCAAGGGACACTCAGCTTTCATGGGCCAAAAAGGTGAGGCTTAAAACACCAACGGCCAAAAAAGGGACCCCTGTCCAATCAACTTGTCGCTTCCTCCAAACCTGCCCTGCCCGAATTGCCTGGTTTTGTGGCATCCTGGGCATCCCGGGCGCAGACAAACCACGGGCCATCCTGGGCCAGGTAGTCCTGGAAAAAATCGGGGAACCGCTCGAGATTTCTTCGGGGCTTCTTGCGGAAAAAGGTTCTGGCTGGATCGTCTTCTTCAGAGTTGGTACCCCCTTTTTGGTTGGTTTTTGGTATTATCGCGAAACCAAGAGGATAAGCGACCTCAATTTTCGGTGCCCAAAGAACGCCCGACTCTTCTCCGTAATCCAAACCTGCAGTTTAACCCCGCTGAACTGGACTGGTGGAAAGATGCCAAGACCATCCGCTCCCAAGACCAACACAAGGAAGATCCAAGTCGCGAATCCGAAGCAAACCGTGTGAGGAGCTCTGTTTTGCAAATGAGCATGGAACCCTCAAAGGGCGGGGGGATTTGTGCGATGTTGGGAGATGTCCATATGGCCTCTTCTGTTTAGCATCAAAGTCACCGCCAAAGCGGTGAGTCAAAGGGAAAGAGTCCCAGCGACTGACTTTGATAACCCGCAGAAACTGTCAATCTTGACGACCCAATAAGGCAGCCCAGCGATTCCCCTTATCTGGGGGAAGCAAGGAGTTTCCACCCTTTACCGGAATATCAGCCTCAGGGTGCACCAAAACTCATGTTGCGTCATGTTTATTCAGCGACATGTAAAATAAGCCCCCCACCCCCCCCCCCCCCCCGAACCCGAACCAGGAGCCACTCCAAACGAGGATGCTCAACCAACTTAGTGGGCTATAACCATAACCCTGGCGACGACGAACATGCAAGTAAGGGTAGCGTAGCACATGGGAAATTTAGGGCTCGCCTGGGCGTTGTGCGAAATGTTGAGCTCGTGCCCCCGGCGCCCACATCGAGCTCTGTGCGAGCCTTCATGCAGATCTTGTCAAAGGAGTGCGGCCTCAATTGAGTTCGAGCGGTTCGGATACCTCCAGTGCTCAGGAGTTTTAAAAGGGCACTACCTCAAGAGTGACTCTTGGACAATCTCAGTGTTGGAATACCCGTGGCTGGGTTGCTCCAAGCCCAAGATGCCAGGCCCCCTTGGGCAAAAAGCTGAATGTAAAACAAGGCAGTTTGGTCGCACCAAAGCAAGCAAGCAAGCAAACAAACCAACCCACCAACCAACCCACCAACCCACCAACCCACCCACCAACCAAGCAACCAAGCAAACAAGCAAACAAGCAACCAAGCAACCAAGCAAACAAGCAAACAAACCTCCCGCGCTTGCCTTTTTGCGCCGTCAAACGGGAAACTAAAACCTAAAAGCCGGTTCCGCCCAGGCGGTTCCGGCCCGGCCCGCCCAGCCCCGGTCCCCGTGTCCCCTTCCCAAATTTGTCCTCTTCGAAACGTCTGGGGCAACGTGGGCGTTTCCTTGTGGTTGATGGTTGCAGCTCGGGAATCCTGATCTGCCTTTTGTGTACTGGGATATGGACCCCCCCAAAAAAATGCGTGTATTACGTGTCCCTTCATTCAACCACAAACGGAACACCCACTCAAACAGCAACAAGCTGGGAAACAAATTTGAACTCTTCAATCCAAAAAGTAAGATGAAACTGACAGCCAGACATAGCCCTTTCAAACAATCCAAAGGACATCTCTATCAACCCCATCTATCTTGCGAACAGGCCACACACATTGCCTGGGCTCCTACAATTTCAGCAAATCCGAGTTGTGGGGCATCCCAAAACGGGCAAGCAGCAAAAAAGCTTGTGTTTGATATTGTTTCACGGCAAAAACTGTTGATTATGTTGTGGTGAAGTATAAGGAAGAACAATTCATGTCTCACGTGGTGGCTGGGAGTTTTGGTTGTTTTCTTGCACTGGTTGTGTTTGTGAATAGTTGTCTTTTTGTCCTTCGCAAGCACATGACAGCAACTGACCCAGTCGCCTAATGGGAGGCATTGCTCTTTCTGCTTTGCAGACGCTGGCCCATGTGGCTGGCGCAAGCACACAGCAATGATGGAGGTTCGAATCCTCCCTGGGTACATTGGATTTTTAAAGGCAGCTCACTAATTCAAAGCACCCCAAACAGGGATCCTTACGTTATACACCTGAACATTGCCTTGTCAATGGTGGTTTCCCCTTATTTTGGTGGAAAAAGCCATGTTTCAAAGGGTTGCAAAATGTATCTTTCAAGGAGCTGCCAAAAATAGTTCTTTCGGAACCGATCCACAGCCCTTGCCCTCAGACCCCCCGCTAAAAGTTTAACTTTTGATGGATTCAATGGAAACTACCACTAAACCAGCTGAAAGGCGAAAAAGCTAAAGAA